TCACCTTATTTTTTCCTACAACTAGTCACTGTCCTATCTTCCAAAGGAGATAGCCAAAGTTCTTGGCATAGCTGACGACATTTGTTTCTGTTTCTTCTGCTGTGTTTCATTCTCTTATATTATTTAGTCTGACTTCTGGTCTACTTCAAAGCTCTTAAGTAGTTCCCTCGAAGCTACCCAAATCCTTATTAAAAAATTTAATAGATGCATAACTGTACATCTTAGTGGGACACCTGTGATACTGATTTTTCAGTATAGCCTTTCTCTAGCCACTGTGTTGCAGCCAGCCCAAATCACTCGGAAATATTTTATTTCCTCTTTGTTTTTGTGCCATTTTTTCCCTCCTCTGCCTACCTTCTTCTCACTGCTCTTATCTGTCTTTGCTGGCTCATCTTTTCTGTCCTTCAAGTGTGGCCTCTGCCCTCTTTTAGGTGACCTCATCTTTTTCTTACATTCCCAAATTGAATCCTTAATCCCAAATCTGTCTTTTGAGCTGTAGATTCATATATTAGCCAGCTATCTACAACTTCACTAAGCTGTCTTTAGATAAATTGAGAATCTTCCAAATTCCCCACTGTTCCCCCTCCCTGCTGTCTTCATGAGGGAGAAAGTGTGGTTCTCCAGCATGCCTGATGTGACATAGTGATCCACTCGGTTGGGTGGATTAGAAATGTAGGAGACACCATTGATTCTGTCCCCTTCCATATTATGATGCCAAATGAACCACTAAGTTCTATAGGATATATCTACCAAGTATTTTAAATTTGTTCAACTTCCATTTCTACTCCTTTTAAAGTCCTCCATCCTATGTGAGAAGAAGCTCTGCCTGTTAGTCTTTGGGATTTGGGACTTCATCTCTTGTGAGATAACCTAAACAAGTAAGACATAGCACTCTCTTTATACTCAGGGAAAAGAAGAACTCTTGTTCAGGGTGCGTAGATACTGAAATATAACTCGGCCAATAATGTAAGCCTTTTACATTCTTACCTAGGGCAATTTTGTTCCTTCTAGCCACATCTCTAATTCTAGAGAAATAACCCAGATTACAGGGCATAGCAGGTATTCCACAAACAAAGAGCAGAGTTCTCAAAGAGATAATAGGTATTTTTACTTCTTTATGCAAAGATGGAAAACCTGCTTATAGACCTAAAGGATATCTTGATGTTTGGAACTAATTCTGATACTCCAAGTTGTCTATTTTCTATTTGGCTAAACAATTTCCAGGGAATACTATGACTTCTACTGAAAGCAGCAGTTCTTAACAAAGGTCCACAGATAAATTTAAAGAACTATGGGTTTCTGAGCATGGTGGCACATGCCTGTAATCCCAGCACTCAGGAGGCTGAGGCAGGAATATCACTGTGAATTTGAGGCCAAGGGTAGCCAGCCCAGGCTCTGAAGTGAGTTCAAGGCCAGCCTGAAGTACATAGTGAGACCTTGTTTCAAAAAACAAAACAATCAGGGCTGGGGAGATGGCTCAGTAGAATAAGCGCTTGCCTGCAAGCCCAAGTGTCTGAGATCAATCCCCGGTTCTACAAACAAACAAACAAACAAACAAACCAATCAAAAAAGAACCGTGGGCAGTGGTTTGATCTTGGGTTTTTAGCGTCTCTAAGCACCCATTCCCTGAGGGCTGGGACGGTAACTCAGTGTAGAGGTTCACCAAGCATACACGTGGCCCTGGGTTGGTCACCAGGAAAACACATGCACGTACATATGCATGCACCAACTCTCCAAAGTGGAGTTTGTAATAGTCCCTGTCTTGTAGCATATTGTAAAGGATAGATAAGATCATTAAATAGAGGTAAGTCTAACACAGTGCTTGGTACACAATTATTTTGATAATTTAAAAGGAATATAAGAAAATGGCAGTAATAGAGCAACATGTAGAAAAAAGAATTAGGTGAGTGCAGCATGTGTCCAAAGTGTGTGTGGCTGAACAAGAACAGTAGGAATTCAGCCTCAAGTATAAGTTCCCTCCACTTAAGAACTTCTCTTTTGGGTTAGGGATATAGCTCAGCGGCACAGCACTTGCCTGGCAAGCACAAGATCCTGAGTTCTATTTCTGGTACCAAAAAAGAATCTTGCTTTCAGCTTTATGACATTTCTAGAACTATAGCAGAAATACACACAGAGGAACTCAGATAAGCATGGGAAGTTTATTTAGTCTAAAACAAACCTGCCTTCTTTGTTAGCAACCCCACCTGCTCCACGTCAAGGAGGAAATACAGAGGGAACCAACCAGAAGTTCTGTCTTATTCTTACCTTATTCTTAAAATGTGAACATTACCTTTTAATAATTCTTAGGTCTCTTATATAACAGAGCTCAGCCTCAGCCTCTCTCTTCCTGAGCTTCTCTCTTCTTAGGATGGCGTCAGGGGTCCAGGTGGCCAGGCTCAGGCTTCCTTTCCTTGCATCCCATGGAGGGTGTGACTGGCTGGAATCTGCCCTCCCTGGGCCCTGGCCAGGGCTCTTGATTGCTGAAGCCCAAGCTTGAATAACTTGGGCTGGTCTGTCTTCCTATTTAGTGTGTGAGACTGCTCTTCCCCCTCTGGCCTTGTAAGCCCACATTGAGACTACTGAATCTTCCGTCTAGCTTGTTAGCCCAGTGGCTTGCCCTTACCTCAAGTTTTGTGGCCTATTCCCACAACGACAGGCTTGTATTGGCCTCAGATCCATGGCACATGTGACTAAGGGGTCTAATTCTCTTGCCTAAGGAGCTTCTCCTGTCTTCCAGTGTGACTGGGAGTCCCATGTGGTGGGAGTCTCTGCATTGTAGTGTGTGTTCGGTCTCCCAGGCCAGTGAGGGCCCCTTCTTCCCTCACTGATAACCTTTGCTATCTTTCTGGGCCAAAACACAGAGAAAGGACAACTGGGACAGAGACTTTTGTTATCTCTTCTCTTTCTGCCATTCCCAAGGCTGGAAAGTGTTAGTCCTTCCTTTTCCTTTCTATCAGTACTCCTGCAGTTTCCTATTGGAGAAAGTGTTGCTTTCATTTTGTTACAAATTTGTTACAGCCCAATAGTCTCACAAAACATAATTTAGTGGAAAAATAAAATTAAAATATACAAATAAAAGTCCATGTTAAAAAAATAAAAGTCCATGTTTTAAATTATTGCAGTCAGTAGAAACAAAATTATCCTGTTAAATTGCTATGAAAGCATCTGAACTTTCAGTTCTGCCATCGTGGACCAGTAACAGATGTGGATGGAGCCACTTCAATCCAGGGCCTCCTTCCTGACTCCTGCCAGTCTTTGGTGGTGAGAGCAGCATCTTCTCTAACCCCAAGAGAGCACCGTGAGCACTGGGCCTCCTGAGCTGATGAAAAAAAGGGATTTGGAAAACACTCTTCACAGCACCATGACGCCTCACCGTGCTGATCTTATGCCACAGATTCTATTTTTAATGTCAGAAACATACATATTAGCCCTGTTTTGCATTTTTACTGAAATTCTAATATGTACCCATGGCAGACGAAGGTCATGAGCTCAAGAAAAAGAGAAAATCATCTGTAAGTTTTAGGCTCTTATCCCTGTTATTCTAATTTATAACACAAAGAATGAAAAAAAAAAACTGTTGAGTTAGAAAATCCTGATTCTTGCAGTTAGATGATTTTTTTTTTTTTGCCTTGGGAACAGGTAAAATTATTTTTTTATTTAGTAGCCCCAACCTTACCCTACTCATTTTTCTTTGTTTTTGCAAAGAGCAACATAAATATTGCAGGATATGGCTCTGTGACAGAATGTACATTTAACAAGTGCAAAGCCCCAGAGTCAAGCCCCACCACTGAAAAAGAAAAGAATAAGAGAAGGAGAGACAGACAGACAGACAAAGAAAAAGTAGTTATCATCTGCATATATAATGATATCCAGGTAGTAATGGATAAAGAATTCTAATTTTTTTCTATAGGAGCTACAGTTAAAAACAGGACAGGAAGAAGGTCTGAAACTGAAGGCTGACGATCTTGATACATGTAATGTGGAAACAAAGAAAGGACCTTTTGGAAGTAAAAACCAACTCCAGGTTTGTCGATTCTGTGTAGTATTTTTGGTTTCTTTTTACTTTTGAGGACTGTCTTAAGTAAAAAGTGGTAGACTCTGAATAAAATCTTTGAACACTAGACTTTTGCTACTTTTGCACTAAATTTCTAATAGTTCTTCTGAAATATCTGCTATTAAAATATTTATTTTCTTACCCAGAAATGTGCTGTATTTTTATTTCAGTGGAAATGAGCTTCCTTGAATATTGTAGAATGTAAATATGAAATCTCTGTTCCCATTTGAATATGGTTTATTCCTATGGAAACAAGTATATTTCTGAAAGTCAGGAGTTTACATTCAAACAAAATCAAATTGAATACAAATATAAATGTACACATAAGGCTGAGGCAGGAGGATCATTGAGAGTTCAAGACCAGCCTGTGGGTACAAAGTGAGCTCAAGTCCAGCCTGAACTTCATAGTGAGATTTTGTTTCAAAAAGAGAAAAAAAATTTATGCATAATGCAGTAATGGCAAACCCTTTAGAATGCCAAACTGAGTCCTAAATCCACTTATTTATCACAAAGTGCCAACCTTGCAATTAAACCTACATATGAAGGTTTTAGTTTAGAAAAAAATAACTTTTAACATACTTTGTTTTAAAGGAAAAACACAGTACCACCCGTGCCGTAGGCTTGCCAGCACTGATACGATGTACAGTGATACTTCGGTTCACGAACTCGGTTTGTTCTGCAAAAGCTGGCCTTGATTGCATTCATCACCCAGTGTGGACTTTGTGAATGGAAGAAACAATTCGCTGAACACTTCTGTTTGCAGGCAAAATTGTTTGTGAGCCAAAGTATCAATTACTGTATTAAAGAGCTATTATTTCAGCACATTTAAAAATATGTCACAACTCATGAACTAATTTCAAGATTTAAAGAAATTGCAATTGTTATTTTATAAAAACAGAATACTAGTCCGGGCATGGTGGCATGTGCCTGTAATCCCAGCGCTGGGGAGGCTGAAAATGGTAGGATCACTATGAGTCTGAGCTGCATAGTGAGACCCTGCACACACACAAAAAAAGCAGTATACTTAGAATTGTCATTACACGCTAAATTTGTTCATCTTAAGTTTGAAATATGTATTCTCTCTTATTTTAATTTAGCCTAATTTATTCTGCAGTACTGGGGACTGAACTCAGGGCCTTTACATTGAGGTACATACTCAGTCCTTTCTCATTTATTGAGGCAAGGTCTCACTAAATCACTGAGTTGCTCAGAGTAAGCTAGAACTTTGATTTTCTTGCCTCAGCTTCCCAGAGTGTTGCGATTACAAGCAAGCACCATCACACCCCGTTTGGGTATCCTTGGTGAGAATACTAAGATATTTGTGTGGAGTATCTTTCTAGTTCTTTTACTTATCAATATTTCAAGTTGACAAGGTCTAGTGTAGATTGAGCTTCTTCCTATCCACTATTATCTGTATGTTTTCCTGTGTGTATTAATTTTTTCATTCCATTTACTTATTGATTGAATAAGGTATTTACTTACATATTCCTTTGATATTTTATTTGGTGCTTCTGTGGGTGAGGTAACACACCAAGTGCAACGGAGAGAAGGGTGAGGACAGTCAATCAAGCAGCTCAGGGCGGGGAGCCAGGATGGGTCACCGTGTCCAGTGTTGTGGTGCAGGCGCACACCTCAGTGCAGCGTGCATAAAGAAGATCGCCCGCCTTCTCTTTGCCAGGCCCCATTTCTCCAGACTCTTTAATGTATCTAGGGAATAATTTTCAATTTCCTCTAAAACAGTAGCAATGTATTCACCTCCTTAGGGTTCCAAACAGGAACATGGATCACTCTCACTATTTAAGTGTTCATTTTAGTTTTTAGTCTGGCTGAAATTATATTGCTACCATCTATTTTTTATGGCAGAAAGAAAAACAAATGATAACATTTCTCTGGAATTTTAATGTAGAAAATGGATGAGCAAAAGAAATGGCTGGATGAAGAAGTAGAGAAAGTCCTGAACCAACGCCAGGAATTAGAGGAGCTAGAGGAAGACCTGAAGAAGCGGGAGGCTATCCTTTCTAAGCAGGAGAGCCTGCTCCGAGAAAAGAGCTGGCTGGAAAGGAAGAAGCTGCGATCTAGTCAGGTATTCTTTCTTAACTGCTATTTGGTTCTGGTTCTGGGATTTTTTTCTTTCAAGAGGCAGATCATGTCATTGCGAAGTTGGAAACCAAAGGAGAACTGTTCTTGTTTTCCATGTACTTGGCTTAATTTTACTTGACTGATCACCACCACCAACATCTGTTGGAATTTTGAAATGGAATGTTAAATGTTTGCCCAATTATGATTTACTATCAACTTTTTATTTTGCCAAAATATACAGAATATTAAACCTGTTTTCTGTCATTTTACATTGTACTACAGATTGAAGCCAGGGCTTTACACATGCTGGAAAAGAACACAACCACAGAGCAAAACCCTGAACCCCATTTTAGCTATTTTTAGCAGTACGATTCAGTAGCCTTGATTACATTCATGGTTGTGGAACAGCCGTCACCATTATCTATTTGCACACCCTCTCTTCTCTCCCAAATTCTAACCAATAAGCAGTAACTTCCTATCTGCCTCCTCCCCTCTCCTGGAAGTGTCTTTTAGTAACTTAAGTTAGGTGGGTGCCCTAAATTAGCCGTGCCACTTGATGCTTCCTAGTGAACACTCATAATCTGAAAAAGTAGACTTGGATTCTGTCTGGTTGAAACCACTTCCCTAAGTTAGGAGTTTGCAAAGAAAAAAGATTTTGAATAATGAAAACTTTTTTTATTATAAAGACTTGAAACCTTTACAAAAGTTATTCCAGGAGGATTTGAATTTTATTGAGTGAGCTAAAGAAGTAGTTTTATGGTTGAGTTTACCTAATTCAACTTTCAAGGAAGGAAGGATTTGGAAGAAGTAGAAGGACCACAAACAGCAGCATCTAAAAATGAGGCTGGCCTAAAGCACCTGCTCAGGCAGAGTGCAGTGGCTGGGGTTTGATCCTTGGCATGTGGTGCCAGTCCCACCCCTGGGGTTCGCTGAGATGGGGATTGAGACTGGGCGTGGCAGCACACGCCTGTAATCCCAGCTTTTGGGAGGCTGAAAACAGGAGAATCACTATGAGTCTGATCTGCGTAGTGAGACCCTGTAGACCCTGCAGATCCTGTACCAAATACATTAAAATAAATAAAAATGAGGCTCTCTTGACCAGATTGAAGGTTCTGTTACCTCAATCTTTGATAGCCCTTGGCCCAGAGGTCAGTCTATACAGTGAACCATAGAGGAGGGGACTGTGAGCTGCCTGATCTATTAGACGTGGCTTTCAGTTAGTATCCAGGCCAGTAGGATTGGAGTTGATGGTGGTGTGTTCTCAGACTCTGCACACTGACACAGCAGGTACCCAGTGATGGCGAGGTGCACGTGCCTCTGCTCCTGTGTGTTTACACTGAAATAGCTCTTCATGGTCAGCCACTGTACTTAGGGTTTGAGAGTGGCCCCTCAACCAGCCTTGCTGCTGGTGTTACATCCGGGTATGTAACTTGCTAAAACTTACTGTCAAGGCAAAGTTGTAAAATATATTCCTTAGAACATGTAATAGCCAGAAATTAACAAATTAAATATTAAGTGAGGAAAAATAATGTTAACAACATGTTATATGTTTTGTGTAAGAAAAGAAGAGAAAAATAAAAAGGTTAGGAAAAATATTTTCCCTGAAATAAGTTAACATTATGGTATGGAAAAAGAAACAAAAATGAAAACAAAAATAAATTAAAAAAACAAACAAAAACAGCCATTTCTGTTTTGGCAGCAAGAACACACTGAGGTAACTAGGGAGTGCAAATAAAAGAAAACCACAATAAAGCAATGCAAAGCTGATTTTTTGACAGTTGTTTAAACATATTCCCAATGGGACCATAAGGGACAGCTTGAACCACTAACGGTACATGCATAATGACTGTCTCATTTATGATCACGGTATCTCCCCTGCCAGGTAATATGACTATCCCATTTAAAGACCAACAGTAGTGATTAGGCCTGTTTGTACCATTAGCGGTGCAAGCCACCAGTGAGACAATCACACAGGTACCAGTGATGGTTCAAGCTAGAGGGAGCATGTTAAAAAAACATAAGAGAAATTTAAGTCTATTACCCTGCTGGTTCTTTCCTGAACAAAAGGTATAAAATGATTCTATCTTTGACAGTATTTGAGAAATATTTATAAGATTTGATTACATGCATTTCAGAAAAGGAACATGATAGACTGGACATAGGCATATTATCCCAGTAAAATGACAGGAAAAAGGAATATATTTCCATTGTACAGAAATTTAGCAACATCAAAGCTGGCTAAATAGCTAAGCAGTGTTGTAAAATTTCTCTTCAGTTTCCTAGGCAGAGTGGCACATGGCAGAGGCTGGTAGCCATTCAGAGCATTTCGTGGTGGCCCAAAGCAGCAAAGAGCAGAGGCAAAAGGGAGGAGTGGTGACAGCAGTGGCAGAGGCAAGCCTCTCTCCTTTCCTTATATTGCTTTCTGTGTGCCCCACCCATGGGTGTAACACTCACACTCATAATCCCAGCAGTACTCAGACCCATAAGCTCAATCTTGGATCATGCATTAATCACAAACTCTAAAATGGCACCCCAAGGAGTACATGAGGCTTTGGGGGGACAAATACACACAAACCATAACAGGGGATGTCTATATATAAAACATAACACATATGAAAAGACCAATTTCTGCAAAGACCAGTAACTACACAAAAAAATGCACAATATCATTAGCCATGATGGGGCCGGGGAGATAGCTCAGTGGAATAAATGCTTCCCTGGCAAGTGCAAGGGCCTGACTTCAATCCCCGGTTCTGGAAAAAAAAAAAAAGAAAAAAACATTAGCCATGATGATAATACAATCAAAAGTTACATGAGGTACAAATTCACACCCATGAGGATATTTGTAATCA